GAGAGAGAGAGAGAGAGAGAGAGAGGGCATTTTAAGCATAAAAGCTGCTCAGCTCTGTGGACCACGGGCACTCCGGCCTCCCAGGCAGCAGGAGGCAGCCTGCAGCCTCCAGGACTCTGTGCACGCACGCTTCTCCTCCATGGGCTCTTCTTGCCAAAGTGGCCCCTTCCCAACAGCCCCACCACCAGACCCAGGCCCATTGCCAGGAGGGGTGAGAGCGAAGAGACGAGGAAATCACCGCACCCCCATCTGCATGAGAGTGCTCCTTCCACCTCCTCCAGCTGCCTCACCCTCCGGGCCTCGGTGGCCCTATCTGTGAAGTGGGGACAGCGATGACAACCTCCCCATCCTCACCCCAGCGGTCAGTGGATGCCTCATACCAACTGCGCCTGGACCAGGTGGGGTTTGCACCCTCTCGCCATGACCCAGCCTCCAGGAGACTGAGCTTGCTCAGCCTCGGGCCCTCCCTGGGCCCTCCTGCGGGCGGGCAGTACCGCCCATTTGGCCTGCAGTGGACGCACAAACCGGAGGTCTGCGGCGCGGCGCCACCGTGTGGCTGTACTGGGAACTGCATGGCCTGGCCACCCAGGGAACCCTTCCTTGAAGGCGACAGGGATACAGGGGCCACCGCAGGGCCTGAGCATTGACGCTGACAAGCTCCGTGCCAAGCACGACCCACGGAGAACGCTCTTAATTCTCCCCTATCATTTGTCCTCCCTTACAGATGGGGAAACTGAGGCCCCAGCCCCATAACCAGAGACAGATGGGGTAGGATTGGACCCCAGGAGGCCCAGCTGCAGGACCTTGGTCTTTATCCACCCATCTTGCCTGGCCCCTTTTAGAGAAGTGTCCAGGCCCCACTGCACAGACTAATCCAGCTGGTCCAGGTGACTGTCTATGCAGCCAGGTCTGAGAACCACCTTCTGCTCACAGAAAGCCCGTTTTTTGTAAGAGGGAGTGACTCAGGAGGGTCAGGATGGGTGCCCTGACCCACAGAAAATAACAGCAGACCTGGCGGGCGGGGTGGGGGTGGGGGTGTTGAACACACCTCACCTCCAGCCCTGGGTTTCCAACACTCAGAGGCAAGCTGTGACCCGGCTTGTCGCGCTGGTGGGAGGCCATGGGACGCAACGGGCCAAGGGTCTGAGTCCTCTATGGCCTGGCTGTGTGCTGTGGCCTTGACTTTCTCATCTGTGAAATGGGCCAGACTCTAAAGGATTTGAAGAAACAGCGATGCAAAGGTTCAGGCTTAGCAATAGACAGATATCTCCTAAGTCAGGGGATGGTAAAGGCAATTTGACGTTTCCAGCAGAGCTGACCCCTGCAGACCTCTCCAGACACCTCCAGGTTGTGTGCCCGGAATGCTGAGGCTGTGGCCTGTGGACGCTTTAGGTGGGCAGTGCTGTCCTGTGGGGGCCAGGCCCAGCCATGGCAGGAGGCAGAGGGCATGGAGTGGGGAGGCTGGTGCTGGGGGCCTGGTGTGGGGTGGCTGGGGGCCTGTATGTGGAGGGAGTGTGGTGGGGGGGGCATGGAGTTTGTGGGTGGGGCTGCTGGGGGAAGTGTAGGGGCTGGTGAACGTTAGAGAGTGCCTGCAGCGGGCAGGGGTGGGCGTCCCAGCAGGACAGGCTCCGGGCGCAGTGACGGGCTGAGGGCTGAGGAATGAGACGAGAGGAGGCAGCGTTCGGGTGGCCCTGAAAAGGGGCTGCCTCAAGCAAGGGCCGGGTTTGGCCAGGCAGCTGGAGGCGGAGCCCAGGATACCAGTCTCAGAGCCACAGAAGGTT